CCCCCCCCCCCCCCCCAGTTTGTTGCCCAGGTTCGGTGCTGGAATAGGTAAAGTGGTATCTAGCTCCCAATGGAAATTTTATTTAAATAACACTAAAATATTATGACTTTTCTTAAATAGCATTACATGTGTTTTTTTCTCAATCTACCACCTTTTGTCATTATTCATTAGTCATTATTTAAGTAAATATTTATCATCACTGGACACTATGGACTTTATTAAGTGCTATTTAGAGAATAAAACAGTTTAAGTGCTATTTAAAGAAATAACTTAAGTTTTAGTGCTATTTAGTGCAAATAATTCTAATAATAATAATAATACTAATAACAATTCTTGATAATCTAATCTCACCTGGTCTGATCTGATTAGATTTGATCTGATCTGATTAGATAAAGTAGAAAAAAAAAGTTGAATGGAATGGGACCTAAGTCTGTGTGCGTAATTCGCGTTTTTGGGGTACAATATAGTATATCTTGGATGTACCAAATAGTTAATCCTCAAATTATTTGTTAACATGAAGAGAGGACCTGATGGAACACCAAGGCCTTTTGTGCAAGAAAAAAAGTCTCGAGAGGATGCAACATTGAAAATATTATTATAAATGAATTTAAAAAATATACTCTCTCCGTCCCAATTCTATATTGCATGTTTCAATTTATGATGTTTGACTGAAATTATTTTTAAATCATTATATATGAAAAATGGTTTAGAATCAAAGAATAAAAATTACATATTAACATACTACATCAAAAGATCAACAAAACTAGTCGTGACATAATTATTTTATTTTATCAAATGACTAACGAAAAAAGAGATTGAAAGTAAATGAAGTTTGACCTTATAAATAGTAAACATGTAATTTAACTTGGGGCAGAGGAAGTAATTAATAAGAAACTAATAATATACAACTTTTTAATGGTTTTTACTTTTAATTTTCTCATTTCATTTACTTTTTATTTCAAAATTAGAATTTAAAATCTATTTTTAAATTTTTATTTTTAATTTCCATAACTTTTATTTTTATTTTTTTTACATATATTATTGAATATCTTTCGAGAAAAATGATACAAAAAATTAACTTTCCTAACAACCAAGTTCAAAAGCTACTCGCCTTGGCTTTTCAAGTTTCAGCTTTTTGGATAAGCAGCCAAGTGAAAAAGTCATTATCCAAATAATGGTTTTGGCCGCTCGATTAGTCAAAACCCCAAAATCAATCAAAGATGTCAAAATCTATCCGAAAAGCTGTTATCCAAACACAACCAATGTCAATTGCCCGTGACAAATAGAGGGGTTTATTTAGATTGATCCAATCTAATCTTCTCAATATCCAAATTCTGATAAAAACAACAGAATACCCAAATATTAGAGTTGAATTTTTTGTCAAAGGCTATCCAATACATCCACTACGATATATTATTACTATATTTTTACTCGTATAATAATATTTTTGATAATAAACTACATTTACTAGTATTTTCTTTGTACACTGCATATTAGTAGTAAATAATTTACTATTTAATTTTGGTTAGAAGTCATTTGGTCATAATTATTTTTTCTAATATCTTACCGGAGTAACTTTTATGTCATCTTTAAAGTTTTAATTTTTTAATGTACTTCCATCTTAATTTAATCATGAATGCATTTATTAGTATTGAAACCATAATTTGATAGTTAACGATCAGACCGAATCTTAAATCGAATCTGAACCCAAAAAATAAATATCCAAACCCAATCCAACAAAGAGAAACCCGAACCTGACCTAAGTCGGGGCGGATTTGGATCTACTAAATCCGGGATACTTTATACATCTCACAAAAAAGTTTCAAATTTCCGTTTATGTTTGTCCAAAAAAAGTTTTGCTTTCTATTTTTGAAATATGTTTTGTATCCATATAACTTCTCTCATATTAATGTAAAATACTTTTATAAGACGGGGGAGTACAGTCATGTCACTTCTTATTTTATAAGTAAATTTGTTAAAGGAAAGAGAATATTTGGTAGAATATTTGGAGATATTTATGTACATACATTGTTTTGGTAGTTTTTCTTGTATAGGGATTCTTTCCTTTTCCTTTTCATTTACTTCTTAGGAGTCTCAACTTGTGAGATCCTATATATATGTCCTCATTGTAAATTGTAAACACAAGAGAGAAAGACAGAGAATTTCCTCCCAAATAATTCTTTCATGGTATCAGAGCCAAAACCCTAGAGGTTTTTCGCGGCTACTGTGCACGATCGCCCGGCATCGCGTATAGCGATCGTCACTTGGTGTTGTTGCCGAAAGACCGGAACGGTCGACCATTGGAGAGGAACGGTCGAAGGAGTCGACCGTCCCGACGGCAGATTCTTCAGTTGCTGCAGCTGTTCGATCCATTATTAGCCCGTGTCATTTGGTATGTCTGAAGAGGCATCTATGAAGATTACTCTCAACAAGAATGAGGAAGAAGAGTAAAAGGGATATTCACCGTTGCCCAATTTCGAGGATCTGACTATGGAACAGTGGAACGCTGTTCGTCACGCCCTTGCACTATCCCCTACAGACATCAATCAGAAACTTACAGGTATTTCTGTGTCACCACGTTGGATTATTGATACGGGAGCATCAAATCATATGACAGGTGCTCTTTCGTTATTGTATGATGTGGTGGGTGTGACTCCATGTGAAATTGGGTTACCCGATGGAAAACGGGTAGTGTCTGTTCAATTTGGAAAAGTTGATTTGACAGGGACTTTGACTTTACAGAGTGTGTTGTTTGTTCCAAATTTGAAGTGCCATTTGATCTCTGTCTCACAGCAGCTGACGAGGGATTTGAACTGTGAGGCAAAGTTCACCAATGATGTGTGCATACTGCAGGACAAAAATTTGAGGACAACGATTGGTGTAGGGAGACATGAAAGAGGATTGTACTATTTAAAGAAGGATAAAAGAAGCATGGCGTGCAGTGCTAAGAAGGTGAATTCCTTTGATCTTTGGAACAAGCGTCTAGGACATCCCTCTTCGCATGTTTTGTCCTTAGTTCCCGGAGTTGGTCCGAATAAAAGTAGCCATAGTCATTGTGATGTCTGTTTACGTGCTAAACAAACTCGTGCTAATTTTCCCATCAGTTTCCATCAATCTTTGGATATATTTGATATGGTACATTGTGATTTATGGGGTCCTTATCGGACGCCGAGTTTGAATGGTTCTACCATGTTTTTGACTATTGTGGATGACTTTTCTCGCGGCGTGTGGGTACATTTGCTTGATTCCAAGCGGACAGTAGGAAGTGTTTTTAAACAATTTTGTGTCATGGTTGAACGTCAGTTTGGGAAGAAAATAAAGTGTGTTCGCAGTGACAATGGCACAGAATTCGAATGCTTGAATGAATATTTTCTAGAACAAGGAATTATTCGTGAGACATCTTGTGTGTCTACACCACAGCAGAATGGAAGAGTAGAACAGAAACATCGTCATATTCTTAATGTGGGTCGAGCTCTAAGATTTCAGGCAGGGCTTCCTATTGAATTTTGGGGAGATTATATACAAACTGCGCCGTATTTGATCAATCGCACACCCTCTTCTTTGCTAGGGGGGTTACAACGTATGAGAAGCTTTATGGAACGGTCCCTACGAGGACTCACATACGTGTGTTCGGTTGCAGATGTTATGTACACAATTTGAAAAGAGATGGAGAAAAATTTGCACCCAGAAGTATTCCTGGAATATTTTTGGGCTACCCACAAGGAAAGAAGGGTTGGCGCGTGTATTTCCCAGACACTGGGAAAATCAGTGTGTCACGGGATGTTGTGTTTTGTGAAAACATTTTCCCTTACTTGATTTCCGCAGGTGAAATTCCAGATGAGAGTGGATCGAGTAGTTCCCCTTCGATCGATCACTTCAAAGATGATGAAGAGATGCTGGCGGAAGAGCAGCTAGACCGTTCCACGAGGAACGGTCGACCGGAGGAGACCAGTGAGGCAGGCGAGCTACAGGCGGTCGATCAGGTGGACCGTCCTGATGTCCACGGTCGACCGTCTGAGAGGCAGAAAGACGGACCCCTGGGAGTGGAATCAACGGTCGACGTGGTGGACCGTTCTGATGACCACGGTCGACCGTCTGAAGGGCAGAAAGATATGCTCCAGAGGGATGATGAAATGGTCGACCGTGAAGGGGAGAACGGTCGACCGTCTCTAAGGCAGAAAAAAGACGCTCAGGAATCTTTTCAGACGGTCAACCCCGTGGACCGTTCCACGGATTGCGGTCGACCGTCCTCTCCCTAGAAAGCAGCAGAGACCTTGGGACGTGGTCAACGGGAAAGGCGCCCAAATGTGAGGCTTGCGGATTATGTTACGCATGTTGCTGGTCCACATATCGGAGAGAAATGCAGATATCCACTCTCCTCATATGTCACTTATGAGAAGTTTTCTCACAAACATAAGTGTTTCCTCACAGCGCTTAATGAAGAAATAGAACCTAGAAACTTCAAACAGGCATTCCAGGATGAGCGATGGAGGAAGGCCATGCGAGATGAAATTGATGCGTTGGAAGCTAATGGCACGTGGTCCTTTGTTCATCCCCCACGTCATAAGAAGGCTCTTGGATGCAAGTGGGTGTATAAAATCAAGCGCAAGTCTGATGACAGTGTGGAAAGATACAAGGCTCGGCTTGTTATACTTGGTAATCACCAGGTTGAAGGTATTGACTACAAAGAAACATTTGCTCCTGTAGTCAAGTTGACCACTGTGCGAACCCTTTTAGCAGTCGCGGTGGTTAAGGGATGGGAAATGGGAATTGCATAAGATGGATGTTCACAATGCATTCCTGCATGGAGATCTTCAGGATGAGGTGTATATGAGGTTGCCGCCCGGTTTCTCGAGTTCGTCTAATATGGTGTGCAAACTTAAGAAGTCTCTGTATGGATTGAAACAGGCTCCAAGATGTTGGTTTGCAAAATTGTCTGGTGCATTGAGACGATATGGATTTGTGCAATCTGTCTCTGACTACTCTTTATTTTCTTTTGTTGGAAAGAAAGGAGTAATACATGTTTTGGTTTATGTTGACGATTTGATTATTGCTGGAGATAAGACAGAGATGGTGAGCAAGTTCAAAGCCTATCTCGGAGATTGTTTTCATATGAAGGACTTGGGAACACTAAAATATTTTCTTGGCATTGAGGTGGCGAGGAGCACGTCTGGGATTTTTCTCTGCCAACGAAAGTATGCCTTAGATATCATCACTGAGGCGGGGTTGTTAGGTGCCAGGCCGTTGGGTGCCCCGATGGATCCAAATCATCACTTGGCTCGTTCCCAAGGCCCGGTTCTTGCATATCTAGAACCATATCGAAGGTTGGTAGGAAGGTTGGTCTATCTCTCCGTTACACGACCGGAACTTTCTTACGCCGTCCATACTTTAGCACAGTTTTTGAAGGAACCAAGGGAGGATCAGTGGTCTGCGGCCCTTAGAGTTGTTCGTTATTTGAAAGGATGTCCGGCTCAGGGCATTTTTCTATCAGCAGAGAGTAGTCTTCAACTCACAGGATGGTGTGATTCGGACTGGGCAGCATGTCCTTTGACGAGGCGGTCATGGACAGGGTGGTTTGTGCAGCTTGGAGACTCGCCTGTCTCATGGAAAACAAAGAAGCAGTCGACGGTGGCTCGCTCGTCTGCTGAAGCAGAGGATAGTGCTTTGGCTGTCCTTACATGTGAGTTAAAGTGGTTGAAGAATGTATTGCGATGTTTAGGGATTGAGCATAAGAACCCCATCTAATCCGGTTTTCCACGAACGCACGAAGCACATTGAGATTGATTGTCACTTCGTTCGTGATGAGCTCTTGCGAGGAAAGATTTGTACACTTCATGTGCCTACTATGCATTAGCTTGCAGACATTCATACAAAGGCACTCGGAAAGTCATGTTTGGAGTTTCTTCTTCCCAAATTGGGCATTTCGTTACTACATGCTCCAACTTGAGGGGGGGGGTGTTAAAGGAAAGAGAATATTTGGTAGAATATTTGGAGATATTTGTGTACATATATTGTTTTGGTAGTTTTCCTTGTATAGGGATTCTTTTCTTTTCCTTTTCCTTTACTTATTAGGAATCTCAACTTGTGAGATCCTATATATATATATATCCTCATTGTAAATTGTAAACACAAGAGAGAAAGACAGAGAATTTCCTCCCAAATAATTCTTTCAAAATTTTATGTTATTTTTTTAAAAATGTATATATTTTTTAACATATAATTTTTTATAAATATATGTATCATTCTTTTACATAAACTACATAAAAAATGAATTCATGTAATATGTTTTGTTGCTTTATGATGGGACGGATGGTCTACAATCCTACTCCTTCAGTTCTCTTCTTTTAATTGATCCCATTTTAAATGTCGGTGGGTGTTGCGCAGTTGACAAGGCAAGAGGTGTCAAAGGGGTAAGACCCGAGTTCGATTCTTGGCAACTACGTTGGGATGCAACTACGCTAAGCATAGAGCCTCTGCAAGTACCAGATGCAGACTCCACTCTTTGTCACCAATCTGCGATTAAAGTCTAATTTACCCTCTCTCAGTGACTGTCCGGCCAGGTCTGAGGGGACCCTCGAAGATGGGGTCATCCTTTTTTTAAATTGCATGTTTCTGTTTACGATATTTGACTAAAGTTATTTTCTAATCGTTTTATATGAAAAGCGACATAGAATTAAAAAATAAAAATTAAATATTTAAAACGTATATTAAAAGATCTGCAAAATTAATGGTTACATGACTATATAATTTTATCAATTGACTAACGAAAATAGAAAAAGAAAGTGAATGAAATTTGGGGTGGAGGGAGTACATTATGCACTACTCATCACAAACATGAAAAATCCGGTTTTTTATATTTATTTATTTTAAATAAAAACTCTAGATATGCACAACTATCAGAAAATTTTAAAAAAAAAACTTCCTAAATAGGAGTAAAACATATATCATATCCTCAAAATAGAAGTTCAAACTTAAACTTCTCTAAATAGGAGTAATTAATTAAATAATAAAGAAAACCTCATAAACAATATTGAAGGGAAAATAGCATCCGTGCCCCCCGTGGTTTACAAAAAAACATCAAAACCCCTTCTGTTTTCAAAAGTTATTTATAAAGTCCCTATGGTTTCTAAATAGAGCACACATGCCCCCCTTATCTATTTTTAAAGCAAAAATGACATTTATGTCATTTCTTTTCCTCAATCTTGAATTTTCCCTATATTATTTTCCTCTATTATACAAATATATAAAATAAAATATACGTTTCTCATCTCAAATTAAAATTTTCCATAATGTATTTTTGAAAAAAAAAAGATTTTTTTTGGAGAATGTTACAAAAGAAAATGAAAAATAAAATATTATGTATAAAGTAAAAATAATAACTGAAAAAGGTAATGAAAAGATAGAAAAATATGAAAACAATCTTTTTCTTTAACTCCATATTTTATTTTATCTTTTTGTTATTCATTTTTTAAAGTCCTTTGAAAACTATTTTACTTTTAAATAACAAGTACTCCCTAAGTTGGAATTTTTAATTAGAGACAAAGTGAGTATATGTTATCTAATTTTTTATTTTATTTATTTTACTTTTACTTATAATGAAAAGGTGTATTTTATTTCATTTTTTAATTTTTAATTTTCTTTTGTAACATTTTGAAAAAAAAAATTATTTTTTTGAAAATTAAATAAATGAAAATTTTAATTTGAGAAATGGGACGTATATTTTATTTATTAATTTGTGCACTATTTAAAAACCAAAAGAGTTTTACAAATAACTTTTGAAAGTAGAGGAGGGTTTAGCGCTCCTTTTGTAAACCATGGGGGACACCGATGCTATTACCCCCAATATTGAATCTCTAATTAATCTCTATCCTCACGGCCACCCCCCCCCCCATGCCTCTCTCTTCCCTCTCTCTCATTTTTGGCCACCACCCTCACCATTTTGAAGCGTTGCCTCCGTCAAATTCACCCCAAATGCAGTACATCACCATCGCCCCACTATTTGCAGTGCCGCTGCACCAGCTTCCCCCTTTGCAAATTTGTCATGAAGCATCCCCTGTAGATCCGTCGCGGAGCGCCGCCTCCATCTCTCCCCTCTTGCAGATATATCGCACTGCCTATATCCATCAGAGCTGAGATTGCCATTAGTCGTGATGACTATGATTTTGATTTTTAATTAGCTTCCAAATGCTCTCTATAATTGAGACTGCAACGTAGAAGTAAGAAATGCTTCCAACTAATTGCATTCATCTTTTTTTCTTCAAAAAATTGCATCTTCATTAGGCATTGATTTTGGTTTGGTTTTTTCTTTTCATTTATGTATTTGATTGTTTTTCTTTTAATTTATTTTGATTGTTTTTCTATGAGTAAATTCTATAATTGGTCCTTTGCAATAGGGGGTTTTCCTATTTAATCCTTTATTATCAAATATTCCCCAAGTGGTCCTTCTTTTATGGGTACTTTTCCACAAATAGTCCTTTTTTTATCTTCTATCATGTTGGTGTTAATTTGAGGGCTAAAAGTGTAATTTCACAATGATAATATATCTTTTTTGTCATACACAATTCCAAAGGTTGTTCTGTTTGCGTCGATTGTAAATTACAGTCGCTTTTTACGACAACTATAGTCTACAAATGTGATCTTTCGTCAGAATCCTAGCCCACAATCATAGTCATTATTTTGTGTTATCCGCTTAACCAATATCAGAACATGTCACAAGACATAATGTTGACGTCAAATTATATTTTTACCCTTTAAATTAACACCAACACGACAGAAGATCAAAAAAGGACCATTTATGGAAAGGTGCCCTTAAAAAAAGGACTGCGGGGGTAATATTTGATAATAGAGGACTAAATATGGAAACCCCCCTGTTATAAAGGACCAATTATGAAATTTACTCTTTTTCTATTAGTTGTGTTTAAATTTTACACCCAATTTTAGCAAAATTTGGTGATAGTGATAAGAAATTTGACATTGTATCTTAGAAATGTTGACATTTCACTTTTTTAACATTTTATATTGATATGTTTGGCATTACGCAATAATATTTTTGACATTATGCAATGACATGTCTGTCAGTATGAATTATCATCTTTGACATTGTGGCTTTAGTTGACATTGTATTGAAAATTTTTTTCCTTGGCAGTGACCCCATGACACTATGGTTGCCACAATGGCAGTCATAATCCTAACGTTGGCAGTAAATTATGAAATTGACCGCAGCAAATGGGGGAGATGGAGGCGACATCCGTAACAAATGGGGATGAGAGTGACATATCGTGGTGGCGATAGTGCCGACTGTGGCGGTGTTAGTGACAACAACAATGTAGATGGTGACCGCATTTAATAATGATGGCAGCATGAAATTGTGCCGATTGAGTGACAGTGACGACAGTAGCGGCGATGACGGCAGGGGTGGCGACAATGACATGTGCGGAAGGCACTGTAGCTAATTTAGGATTTATTTTAATTTGTAAAATGTATTTAATTTCATATTTGTAATATACTACCTCCGTCCCACTGTATTCGTCCACTTTTGACTTTTG